GGCGGGCGCGCAGCCAGCAGCAGCAGCAGCAGCAGCAGCAGCAGCAAAGGGCTCGATCCAACGCATTTCTGCTGCCTGGAGAAAACGCCTCGGGTTTGCACTGCCGAGCCTCCTTTTGGCGAGCGGCAGCAAGGTGGGATGCTCTTGCTGCTGCTGCTGCTGCTGCTGCTGGTGCTCTTGCTGTTGCTGTTGCTGCTCTCGCTGCTGCTGCTGCTGCATCTGTGCATTTCAGTAGAAATCCAGAGTCTTCTGGCTCAAGGGTTTGAGCTCCCAACTCAGGTTTTCAGCGAAGGGTGGGGTTTGTATTCGAGGGTTTAGGGTTTAGGGCTTAGGGTTTAGGGTTTAGGGTTTGGGGCTGCAGGACGGCACTGTCCGGATCTGGCGAACGGGGCAGCAGCAAGCGCTGAGGGTTTTGAGTTTTCATGCTCAGCCTGTTACTCAAGTAAAGTGGTCTGGAGGCCCCCAAGGTGACCCTAAACCCTAAACCCTAAACCCTAAACCCTAAACCCTAAACCACTGTAATAGAGTGAAGAGCCGTAAACCCTAAACCCTATACCCGAAGCCCCTGTAATAGAGTAGAGAAGCAGTAGCTGCATATGGCCCGTTTGATGTGCCCCAATCCTAGCGCTGCGCCCAAACCCTAAACCCTAAACCCTAACTCTAAACCCTAATCTGGGCGCAGGTTCAAATTATGAACCAAACCCTCGGCGCAGTTGCCAAACCAGCAGTGTGTGGAGACCGTGACTGCAAACCCTACTGGAAACCCTAAACCCTAAACCCTAGCTGCAAACCCTAGCTGCAAACCCTAATTGTAAACCCTTTCGTTCAGGCTATTTATTCAGCGCCTCAAGAGACACAACAGTGAAGGTTTTAAACCCTCTGACGGGAGCCCTTGTCAAGGACCTTAAAGGTGCTGCTGCTGCTGCTCTTGCTGCTGCTGCTGCTGCTCTTGCTGCTGCTGCTCTTGCTGCTGCTGCTGACCTTCTGGCGGGCGTGAGGCTGTTGGCTGCTGCGTTGGTGCTGTTGCTGCTACTGCCTCGGATGCTGCTGTATGTTTTGCTGCTGCTGCATCTGTGGCTGCTGCTGTTCTTGCTGCTGCTGTTGCCGTTGCTGCTACTGCTCAAGTTGCTGCTGCTGTTGCTGCTATTGTGTCCCCGCTACTGCTGCTGTTGCTGCTGTTGTGTCCCGGTTTCTGCTGCTGCTTTACAAGCTGCTGCATCTGGCGCTGCTGTTGCAGCAGCTACTGTCCGTGTCGCTAGCATTCCTGCTGTTGCTGCTACTGTGCTGCTGCTGCTGCTGCTGCTGCTGCAGGGCATGCACACTGGGTGAACACTCTGGCCCTCAACTCCGACGCGGTGCTGCGCCGGGGCCCCTTCGACAATCGGGTGCAGCAGCAGGCTTTTACTTCCTTTGCGGGTAGGCCCCCTTTTAGGGTTTAGGGTTTAGGGTTTAGGTTTTAGGGCTTAGGGCTTAGGGTCTAGCTTGAGCAGCGAATTCGCGGGCACGCAGTAGGGGCCCCCAGAGCACTCAGCTGGCTAGCTAGCTAGCTAGCTAGATCGCTAGCTAGCTAGTCTCTTTAGCTAGCTAGCTCGCTAGCTAGATAGCTAGCTGGCTAGCTATTTAGCTAGCTAGCTGGCTAGCCAGCTGACCAGCTGGTAGGGCCCTTGGGCTCAGCAGGCGGGGTCTGTTTGGCCTCCTGCTTGCTAAACCCTAAACCCTAAACCCTAGATCGTGTTGCGGGTTTTATGTCTCAGAAATGAAGGAAGCTGCGGAAAAGCACTTTAATACCTTCATTCAAGAGGTTTGCTGTTGCTGCCGCTGCTGTTGCTTCTGCTGCTGCTGCTGCTGCTGTTATTGCTGCTGATTATCCTTCTCTGTGTTTGCCTTTTATTTTGCTGCTGCATCTGGCAGTGCCTGTGTCTTCTGTCTTTGCCGCCCGCCCGCAAGCTGGAGAATCTGAACCCTAAACCCTAAACCCTAATTTGTGGTTTGCGCAGTGCGACCAGGAGGCCCTTCTGTCCGGCTCAGATGACTCGACTCTTATCCTCCGCAGGCTAAAGCCCAACGGAACTTTTGAGGAAGTGGGACGGATGACGGGGCATCAGAAGCTCATCAACTGCGTAGGGTTTAGGGTTTGGGGTTTAGGGTTTAGGGTTTAGGGTTTAGGGTTTAGGGTTTATGGGAAGTGTGGTGGCGAACGGATTCGGCTTGTCCTGCATGAGATCGAGACGTCGAGGGCAGAGCGTAGGGCTTGAGTTTCTGGGATTGCAGTTTAGGGTTTAGGGTTTAGGGTCTAGGGTTTAGGGTTTAGGGCTTAGGGTTTAGGGTTTGAGATGTCTGCGCAGGTGTGCTTCTCCCCCAACGGCCTTATGATCGCCTCTGGCTCTTTCGACAAGTCCATCAGGCGAGTTTGATTAATTCTTTATTTTGTTTCTAGTTTATATTTTATTAAATTGGTTTATTATTTTATTCATTCATTTATTTATTTATTTATTTTATTTATTTAATTTGTCTTCATTTACTAGTTGATTCGTTTGCCCCTACTTGCATTATTTGGTTTCATGTCAGTCCATTTGTTTATTTGCGTTTTCCCACTAGACAGGCCAAGGACCTAGGGTTTAGGGTTTAGGGTTTAGGGTTTAGGGTTTGTTGCAGGCTGTGGAACGGGACCACTGGCCAGTACATGGCCACTTTGAGGGGCCACGTGGGGCCTGTCTACCAACTGGCCTGGGCAGCAGACAGCCGTTTGCTGCTGTCAGGTCCGTTGCTGCTGCTGCTGCTGCTGCTGCTGCTGCTGCATCGGTGTCGTGGCGCCCTCTCGGCCGCGCGGGGTGTAGACTGCCCCGCGAAGAGGCTGCGGGCGGCAAGGGTTTAGGGTTTGGGGTTTAGGGTTTAGGGTTTGCAGGAAGCGGGGACAGCACTTTGAAGGTGTGGGACGCGGAGCAGCAGCGACTCAAAGAAGACCTCCCCGGCCACGCCGACGAAGTCTACGCCATCGACTGGGCCCCCAACGGAGGCGCTGCAGCTTCGGGGGGCAAAGACCGCATGCTAAGAATCTGGAGGCACTGAAGAGCAGAGGTGCTGCAGCAGCAGCAGCAGCAGCAGCAGCAGCAGGTGTTGAGGTGTGTAGACACCGCAGCAGCAGCAGCTGAGCAGGTGTGTAGACACCGCAGCTGCAGCAGCCTCCGGGGCCAAAGACCGCATGCTTGGATGCTTGGGATCTGGAGGCACTGAGGTGTACAGACACCCCAGCTGCAGCAGCAGCAGCCGCAGCAGATGTTGAGGTGTGTAGACACCCCAGCTGCAGCAGCTCTTGAGGTGTACAGGCACCTCAGGTGCAGCAGCTGAGGAGGTGTATAGACACCCCAGCTGCAGCAGCTGAGGAGGTGGACAGACACCCCAGCTGCAGCAGCTGAGGTGGACACACACCCCAGCTGCAGCAGCTGATGAGGTGTACAGACACCCCAGCTGCAGCAGCTGATGAGGTGGATAGACACCGCAGCAGCTGTTGCGGTGTACAGACATCACAGCTACCTGAGCTGAACAGACACCCCACAAGTTGAGGTGTATAGACACTGCAGGCAGCTGAGGTGTACAGACACCCCACAAGTTGAGGTGTACAGACACTGCAGGCAGCTGAGGTGTACAGACACTGCAAGTAGCTACGGTTTACAGGCACCCCAGCGAGCTGAGGTGTCCAGACACTCGGACACTCGACTCCGCTGCGGTGTCTGTACACCGCAGCAGCGTGGGGAGTCTGTACACCGCAGCAGTGTGGGGTGTGGGGTGTACGTACACCGCAGAAAGCCACGTGCTGCATGCAGCGCTGCTGCAGCAGCGGAGCAGCAGCAGTCAGTCCGAGTTAGTATAGTGGCTAGTATTTCCGCCTGTCACGCG